CCCCCTCCCCCGCTCCCAATGCACCATCTCATTATAATGACTTCAGTATTTAGCGACCACCTCAATAAACAATAAAGAGGAGACCTAGAACCCTAGCCCAAACCCCTATAGCGCCCTACCTCTACCCCCGGGGGCTCTCGTGGCCTAGATGTTTTAAATAAGGTGTTCGCCTCTCATTCAATAGGTCCTAGGTTCGAATCTGGATAGCAACGGAAAATTTTCTTTTTATTCTTCTGAACTCTAAAATGTTCTCCTTTCACATCCTTTCCTGCTCTCTAACATTACTAAAAATGTTTAGTTGTCTACTTTCGTCTCCATTTTCTGCCCCCACCCTCTCACCTCCTTTGCCCCCTCCTCTGGGCTCCCGACTCTTTCTGCAGCCTTTCTACTGCTTCTCCTTGGCTCCTTCTTACTGCTGTCTTTCAGGCATTCCCTGATCTTATGGTATTAAAGGTCTACACCTAGCCTTCTCAGAGTAGGGCAAAAAATCTCGGAGGTCCCTTGGCCATAAAAAGTTGCGCATGTTAAAGATCCCTCTTGGGGTGCCAAAATTGATAACAATAGGCTTCGGCCACCACCTTGGCAAAATTCAAAATTTCGTTCCAACTGATGTTTAGTGTGCTTTACGCACTAGCTTCACCTTTATGCAGTTGGAGTTCCGTTTACAAAACACTTTCCACCCCCCCTCCCCACCCCTATCCCTGACCCTCAATAAACACACAATAAAGAAGAGACCCAACCGGTAAACGTACCTCTAAAAATGCGCAAACCACCGTGATTTTGTCATGACAAGACTCTAGGTCGGATGTAATCTCTGACTCCTTCCTTAAACCTATAGATCTAGAAAATCTAGTGTATCAAAGTGATTAATGGATGTTGACTCCAAATATATATTAGATCTAGATATAGATCTAGATCTAGATATAGATCTAGATCTAGATAGAGCCAAATGATTTTATAGGAGGAGTTAACTCCCAATAAATTACTTTGCATTGTGAAGGCTGTCATGATAGGTTTGACTGTCTGTCCTAATTTGGATTCATTCATATAGAGTAGAGATCTCTAAATAAAGGGACTCACTTGGAGGGGGGAAATTATGAGAACCTAGATCTAGAGCTCTTTTCTTTAGTCTTTAGTACTTTAGTAGTTAGTCTCTATGTATGTAGAATCTAGTTTTTACAGATTCTGCATTCTCATTTTTTTTTCTGTTATCTTCTTCGTATGCGGCAATTTAGATCTTCTATTCTAGATATTAGTATATATTGAATCTAGATTTCTAGATCTAGATGTAGATGTAGATCTAGATGTAGATGTAGATGTAGATCTAGTGTTAGGACTTGACCAAGGAGCTTAAAACTGAACCTCCTTGGACTTGACTCAACAAACTTCAGTATTACTCACCGAGACCGCTCATCATGTCATACAAGATCTAGATCTAGATGTAGATCTAGAGTGGAGGTCTAACGCAGGGAGGTTTTCAGATCAAATGTTATGGGGGTCTACACTTCACAAAATTACAAGGAAGTTTATACAGAAGGTCCTTGCACGGTATCCAGATTTTTAAATGATATAATGAAATCTTTATTTATAATCGTAGGAAAGAGCGGTTGCCATTGAAGCCGAACTATGGTTCGAGATTCGTTTCTTTTTAGTAGCCCAGATCTAAATCTAATTTTTTAAAAACTTTTCTGAACGTGTTCCAAGGACTTTAGAACTAGATCTAATGGAGCCTCCTCTCTCTCTCTCTTCGCGGCGCCACGAGCAGTGGGGATCAAATATGGCCGCCGAGTGTGGGCTAAATCTCGAACTGTGGCG